CAAATGTCATGGGCCAGTCTGTGCTCATCGGCAGGGTGGCACAGTTATGTGCAGTGAAACCTCAGGGAAATGGAGCTTACTCCCCATTTGGTTCATGAAAGCTCAAAAATTGGACTGCCCTGCTGCATTCTATAGGAACCAGCAAAAATCCAAACTCTTTGGTTTATGAAAGCTTTTTATATACGTAAAGTCCTATGAGAGCTATTTAGTTATACCAAAATGAGGTTAAGGTTTATTCTTCCACATCTTCTTGTTCTGTTTACAAATCCAGGAGCTAAGCATTCCACAGTTGCCATAATTTGGCCCCTGTCAATAGCCCCGCGCGTCCTTTGAACAGCGAAGCACAGCTGTTCGGGCTTGTGAGCACCCCCAGGAAAATCAAGATGTTGCGCTGAAATGAAATTTGTATCTACGCGCTCCTGGAATTAGATCCTTCATCCCATTCTAACAGAAGGGTCTAATTTAGATGCCTTCTGATACTACCTGTCTCTCTGCATCAGTTAGAAAGGAAATAGCATGGCTGTTTAGACTTGGACCAGCGCATCCTAAATGGTATTGCCTAAGGCAAATCCCATCCCAAACACTGAGAGAACTCGAAGAGCAATCCCTCTCCATTTCCTTGTTTACATACTCGCCCGAGCGTGTACCCGAACTGAACTGCCGGTTTGTGTTAAATCTGCCCTTCCGCCGCAACTGGTACCTGGAGTTCTGTAACGCATGTTGAACCTGAGGCCATTGACAACCTTTTAACCACCTTAGCAAGGGCACGTTGGTGTCACTGACTCACTGAAGTGGAGTTTCCTGCAGAAAAGCTGTTTTCAGGTCTGGCTTGTCTTTAATCAGTACAAATTGGAAGAGGTCTATTGAAATAATGTGGAACAATGCACTCGGTGTAGGAATAGGGAAGCAAAAGTCTACCAAGATGCATGCACTCATCTGGACCCATGCAATGGGGTGCTTTAAGAGGAGTGTGGCCAGCAGGGCGAGGGAGGTTCTCCTCCCCCTCTCCTCTGCCCTGGGGAGACCCCACCTGGAGCACTGGGTCCAGTTCTGGGCTCCCAGGTTCAAGAAAGATGAGGAACTCCTGGAGAGAGTCCAGAGGAGGGCAACAAGGATGATGGGGGGACTGGAGCATCTCCCCTAGGAGGAAAGGCTGAGGGAGCTGGGCTCGTTCAGCCTGGAGAAGAGAAGGCTGAGAGGGGATCTCATCACCACCTACAAATATCTCAAGGGTGGGGGTCACGAGGA